TAGCAAAACCACAGGTATTCATATACCACAGGTATATGCAAATATGAACTCTTCAACAAGCAAGCACCAAGCTAACTGCAAGTGTGTATAATACTAGAAAACATTTCCTTGAACAGTACCTATGCTGACTTGTCAACCTGTACATTGAGAGACATGGATGGAAAAGACTGTCTGGCAAAAAGCTGAAGATCCGCTCACACTTCCACCTGCTGCGTCCATTTTCTGACCCGAAACGGGAAGCTGGCGGGGTTTGAAGACAGCTTTTTCCTACTAGCATTCCAGTGATTGGGAAAGCTTTGATGAGAAACTCCAGGAAGTGCCTGGTAAGATATAGATCGCCAGGGGTGAAGGAGGAATCTACGCTAAGTTGTCCATTCCTCACAGCCAGCCAGAGCAGGAGAGAGCTGTCAAACGAGCAAAGCACAGAATGGAAACAAAAGATCTGGAGGAAATGAGGATAACTAGGCCTCTTCAAGCGCCTCAAGACTTGAGAATTCTCTCTTTTGCACGTTTCTAACATAACCTGCTGCTTTGTATCATCTTAAAGGGTATTTTAATGAAAGCACGCTACTGTAAGGTCCAGGCTTATATATGCAGGGGGCTTTGTGCATCGTGTGCATAGCTTGGTGGTGACCACTCTTCAGCAAATTCTTCCCTATAAAACCATGGGGCATGGGCTCTGTGTGACTGATGCAGTCATGGCTGTGTTAACATAACCATGATCCTCTGAGAAGATGTCTTGGTGGAGAGCAGTTACAATGGGGTGTGTTTGAACTGAAAGGGCTCCAGTTGCTGAATCCTTCATATTGTTCCTATCCAGTTTAATAGCATATAAAGCATAAGAAAGGTTACAAATGTGAAGAGCCCATTGGGCGCATCTTGCTCGTCTGGCTGCTAATAATGATCCAAGAGTTCGGCCCCTCTTAAGAGTCGGCATGCTTAAGAGGAGTCTAGATTCTTACAGTCCTGTGTAGAGAAGCACTTCCCTCTGATCCTGAATGTTCCTGAGCTCCTCCTCTGCTCCCTGTATTTTTGCTGATTTGGGAAAATCCATTATTTATGGGAAATGAAATGAATCTGTAACCCGTTAAGTAGGAACTCAAAACCTAGCCCCACAGGCAATTAATAAACTGTAAACAGTCCATCTTGACGTGATCTACCTGGTAAACAAGGTGTGAATTGAAAGTGTTTATAGTTTTGAGCAAATTCCAGAATAGGCACTTGCAGGTAGGGCGCTCCACTCTACGATGAGAAACAGTAGAGGGAAAATCTGCTTTGAACCTGAAAGTTGTTTTGTTTAAATGTTTGTGCATCTTTAGGCCGGCTAGCTCGAACACTGGATACACAAGCGCGGGGAAAGATCCGTGCTTCTTCCTTTATTCTTTAAGCAGACAATTCCTAATCCGCCGGACAATCCCTAATCCGCTGCTCTGAATGCAAGACTCTAGGCTGTTGGCAACTGATTACAATGCCATTAATAATTACCAGCTCTTTAGTTACTCATTACGTAAACGGAGAATACTATGTTATTGACAACAGTATTCCTAAGGCTGGACTCTGGTTTCAGCTCCATTCATTTAGTAAGCAACCAGGGAAATTGGAACCAGCATTGTGTGTTTCTTCTGCTGTTTTATTTTCATTACAGACCGATAAAAGTGGTATGACGGAATTTTGCTTTTGTTTGCAGTATCATGTATTTAAGCAGGTGCTACCCGGAAATGGCTGTCTGAGTCTATTTAAGTTACCTTAAGATACAGAGATATCGGGCAAAGTGCTATATGAGTACATATACATCCTTGAGTCAATACAATATTTTGTTTTCAGCATATCAATTCTTGTACCAGTCGATGTTTAACAAAATTTGCATTTTGTCGCATTGTAAAAAGCAAATACATGCATTGAAGTTTTTTGTTAACAGCTCTAAACTCTAGATAAGATTTTAAAGAAATGTAATGATGTTCATTTATTGCCATATTTAGATCAAGCGCGTGCTGGAACTAAACCCGAGCTGGTATTTCTGTAGGTGGAGTTTGTGTGCTCCAGAGACACATTTTGCTTGGTTTTCACTTCTAAGTGGACGAATGGATTGTCAGCAATTGCTTGGCCTCAGTCTTTATAGGTTTTGTGCGGTAATTATTCACTTAATATAATTATCCATCCATTTTAAATTACAGCGTAGTCTAATACAGGGTTTACTTAAAACAGGGACAACTTAGAGATGCCAGTCGAACAATGGAAGGACACCAGAGCATCTTATTAACACCCACACAGCCTTGGGAAGAACAAGTTCAGAATTTAGAATTGAACCCCATGAATCAACATTTATGATGCAGCAACACCACCTGTGTCGCCTTCCTGCTGCCCCGTTGCTATTATCATTTTTATTTTTAATATCAGAAGCGTTTTATTGACGATTTAATTTTATTTCGAGATCTCAGAAAGTGGTAGGATTGCACACACAAAATACACACAGCAGCAGGGAAAAGAAAGCAGAGGAAAAAAGCACATCAAATAGCACAACCAAGAATAAAGCGAAGCTCGAAAACTGCAGGCAAGCGTGGTGCAGCCTATTGAGTTTCACAATGAGAAACAGCACCGCTGCAACATGAGCTGTTGAAGTGTCAGTGCACTCAGTGGCCAGTCCTACGACAAGAGGCATTTGTCGTAGAGGTGGGGTGGGCATTTACAGGGAAAATGACAGTGGAGGCTGTTCAACTGGCTGCTGCAGTAACTCCTATATTGCTATATTTCAATTGCATAAAAAATGTTACCCACCAAGTCTGCAGTTAATTGGCCAAACAAGCTTTCAGTATTGGGGGTTTGTAGGAAGAGAAAAGTTATCAGCAAGAGAACAAAATGGCGGTCAGGCAACCGTCTTGGTTTATGCTGGAGCCCCATTTCGACATATGTTAGTTATATGCGCACTGGAATGATGGCTGTCAAGTATAAGAAGAATAGGTCCAAACAGGTCCAAGGGTTGGTTTGTTTCAGAAGATTGCACAAAATGGCGGTCACGTCACCATCCCTGCTTTATGCAAGAATCCCGTTTGACAGTTTGCCAATAGCACTGTCAGCAGGCTGCAGCTCCGAAAGTTTGTCCACACCAACTCTTTATGAAGGAGAGCTGTACCTGGATGCGTTTCACTTTTGTGGTTATAGAAAGTCATGTCACAGCTTGTGAGGTTAAGTTGCTCCCAAGACTAGAGGCAGTCTGAGTTGTGAGAACAGAATGTTGGTCAAGCAAGAAACGTACCAGAGCCCTATTTCACTATGTGTTATCTGTATTGGCATTACAATAATAATACCTACTACATTTAGTGTTAAGTGTCCAAACAGTTTTTCGATAACAGCAGTTGTCATTAGAGGGTGAGCTATGCCAAGCAGGCTATGGCTTATGGTAGTCCTGTTTTTCACAGCTTTGATAGGAATCCTGCCAAAGTGCAAATATACACTTCAAAATGTAGCATGGTGGTTTCCATATGACAGCCAAGCCACGTGACCAATTGACCTGTCCCAGGGTAATCAATCGGAACAAATCTTTGGCAACATCTAGCACTCTGTGCCTAGTTTGGGATATGTACTTTTAATTGGGTTCAGAGAAGAAAAAGAACCAAACTTTGATATCAACCCAATGTGGTAGCCAGATCATGTGACCTTTCAGCTGCATTTTTCTCTGTTACAACTTTCCATGGGCCTCTAAGATCCTGAGAAGTTTCATGGGTTTTCGGCAAAGGATAGCACTTGTATACTTTCTACTTTTTATACCGAGTTTCACGGACGTGATGATGCACAGGAGGGCCCTATTGCCCATTGGCCTGGTAAGAAGTCCTGCGCCAGCAGGTGTCTGTTTAAAAGTATGATTAGGAGTTGGACTGTACTCATACAATAAATTCCAGAGATACATTGGATCTAAAGCATTCAGAGTTCGCACAAATCTCAAAAGCCCATTTTACATTTGACACAGAACCAATACAATTTACAATGTCAGGGTTTCAGTTCTGATCACACATAAAACATTTTCTCCCAGCAGCATTGTCTAGTATTTTCACATATTTGTCCATCTCTCTTTTTCTCTATATGATTGTTCCAGACCTTCCCATATTTTGTCCTGGATTACTAAACCACGTGAGATGTTTCAAGCTTCTCATGCTCCGTGTAAAACTTTTACTAATTATTTTCATGTCAAGCTTGTTCTGGCCTGTGGGAAGAGTAGATCATAACAAAGTCAAACATAGTTCCTACATCATTTGACTTCTGTGGGTTAATCAGAAGCCAAGCAATGTGTATTTCTGCTCCCCAGGCACATGAACTGTGTGGTCTTTAGGAGAGAATGTTACCGGTGAATGATGTAGTTGTACTGGAAGACTGTATACCCAGAAATGTGTGACTAACTGGTACAGACTCCCCACAGAAGGGAGGGGCTGCTGTGACACCTCCCTGTGCAGGACGTTTCCAGAGACTTCTGGAACTTACTCCTGGCCCAGACTGTGTCAGAGTCAGCTCAGACGAGCTGTGGCTTCACCCAGTACCGCCTGTCGGCTGCTGCCTGTTCCTGCAGAGATCCAATCCTGTCTCAAAGGAAACTTGTACAAGTTATCAATTTCACTAATCGACATCGATGGTAGCCTGCTAAGGAGTGTTTCAAATTTTGGAAGGCACCGCGAGACGTATCGTAAAGTGGCGAATGAACACACTGGTTGAGGAAAAGGAGCGAGTCTGCAAGTTAGTGGTAAAAGAGCAGGAGTTCTCTTCATTGTGATTCTGCGTTTGGGATAGTAAATGCTTTCGTTGATATTTTGTCAAGAATTGTGATTTTATACGAATTCAAAAATCCGAATAACATATAAAACCGAACCCTGTTTGAGGACGACCTTTGAATTAGTATGTTTCCTGTATCCAATTTTGCTGAAATTCTTCATCTTTAGGCAGAAAGACTTCACTTGAAAGGGTTGGAGGCTTATGATTATGTAATCATTCTGTTCTGTTTGTTTTGTTGACAGAATGGAACAAAGAAGTCCTGGGACTTTATGAGGACTCATGACAGGTAGGTGTGTGAGGGTGCCCAGGTGAGAAGTGTCCTCAGGCTGGATCTTCCTCTACTGTCGCCAGACACTTTCTTAATTGCTGCTCATTAAGACCAAGACATGAAGCCCTACAGTAGAAGAGCACAGTGCCTTGTTCTTCCTGGGAGCTGTGCAGGTCGGAGAGTAGGTGGCAGAAGCATTGCGCTTGACGACCTGCATCTGGATCTGTGTGTGCCTCTGGCGTTTTCTCCCTTTCTGCTCTGACCTGTAGGTGCTGGGCCTGTGAAGGGTGTTCCCTGTCAGTGCAGTGTCAGTCCTCTGGATCTTCAGGCAGGAACCGCGGACTTTAAAATCTCCATCTGTTTGAATGTTCATTTTTGCTTTGTTGCGATGCTTGGTCACATTGAATATTGCATCAGCGTGCTTGAAAAGGCTTTCCATTGCAGAAGGACGCTGTTTCGTCACAGAGTTAAAATCCCTGTATCAGTTTCATTTAATAAAGCTGCTGGTCCTTGTCTGAAACTGAAACATATATTGCAGCTGATCGCCTAACAGCATTCCTTTGCTTTTTACACGCCACTATGAGATAAAGCATTCACCACAATGTAGCAGACATGTGGCTAGAGTTAATATAGGAAAGGTTCAAAGAGGTTTGTTGGCTGGATCTGCATGCAAAGCCCCTGTGCACAAATTAGCCATTCAGTGGGTGGTACCATAAATCTTTTCAGGGAGTTAATTTAAGACCTAGAAGAACAACATGATACACAGGTTTGTTGGACAATCCTGATCGCTCTTATTATTATGTTTATTTAAACAAACAATGAATATAGTAGTAGATTGTGATTTTTTGGGGTGGGTTCCCAGATCCGAAGCTGAGAGGGCGAAGAGTCTTTGTCCAGGCCATCCTAGACTTGCCCCTTACTGTTCAGAGTTCACAACCAGTTCAATTAAAAGCAATCTCTGTTATCCACTCATGGTCATTCAAAGACCGAAGCCTGACTGAAGCCCTCTGGCAGCTTTTAATGGCATGTGTTACCTAATTAATGTGCTCATTAGTTACTGGGGAGGGTGTTGAAATGGGACTGTGTGTAGACCCTACAGTGGGATAGTTTCTAGGTGTGCTTTTCCCAGATTCTTAAGAGAGTTTCTTGGAAAAACCCCTGACTGAGCTGCTCCCAACGTGATCAAACACATCCACCCTCACAATGAAAAGGATCAAAAAAGGAATCCCTTCTGGCAGAGTGTTTCCTTCTGTTGAGTTTTTGTTTTCCTCTGGGCTGTCTCTCAGAGTTGCTCGGTGAACGGTCATGCCGTTTCTCAGAGGTGAGAGGTCAGGCACACAGTCGAGGAAACCCCAGCATGGCATTCACCTTTTGTCTGCGTGTGCTGATGTGTGACTCGCTGCCTATATTAAAAATGACTTCATACTGATATGATTCATTCAGTGTGGAGCACTGGTGTGATTCGGGCTCTGCACACAGGGCTGGAAGGTTGTGGGTTCAAACCCCAGTAGAGCAAGGTGCTCATTCAGATTGCTCCAGTAAAATCCTCAGGGCGCAGATGTCAGTTGGATAAAAGTGTCAGCCAGATAAAAGCAGACAAAAGACAAACAGTTGCAATACAGTTAGGACTGGTTCCACATTCTCCTAACTGCATTTGAACTGTGCTTCAATTAACCCAATTAACCTTGTGAGCCAGCATTGTCACCAGTCGTTAATGACTGCACCTGTCGAGGTTCTTCTAATATTAATGGCCTTTTTTAATGAAGTGTAGTTTTAGTCCCTTACTTTACGGATTAAAAGTAGGTGAACACGGTCCTTTTTCACTGAAAAAACACTTTTTATTGATATTTGACAAACATCTCAAAGGAGAAGAATTGGAATGCGAGTTGTAGTTATATTGTGTGGCATGCTTTCATATACTTTTTTAATCAGATACATGGGGGGGAGGTTAGCTTCAGAATGCCATTGTAGAGCTCATGGGTCATGGGACTGGTTGTCTGCTAGTGCAGGACCAAAAGACCAACATGTTTTTTTTGCAGTTTTTCACAGGAGCATTCCTACCTTCTAGCATGATCTTGTGAGATATCGGAAGCAAAGGAAGGACAGGAGACCTCCTAGGAAAACCAGCTACTGCAAGTGGTGTTGGTTAGCCAGTAGGTGGCGCTCTTCCTTCTAAACCAAAATATCCATATGCCTTGGGATGGTGATGGGAGACTGCAATAGGAGGTGTTATCCTCTGGATGAGACATTAGATTGAGGACCTAACTAGTTACCATAGTAATGAAAAGATACCATGTCACTTTTTGAAAGAGCTTGAGTTTTTCCCCTGGTGTCCTGGTGATATATTTCACTCCTGTACAGGCTTGGACAGTCTGACTCTGCTGTCACCCCTCTCAGTGGGGGGCGCACTTCAGCCACCTGTCTGTGAGGTGCTTCGAGATCCTTTGGGATGAAAAGAGCAATATTAATGCAGGGATTATTTTTTTAAAAGAAGCAGATATATTAAGAATAAGAAGGACTGCAAAGTAAAGAGTATATGGAATGCATGAAAGAAACAGGCAGTGATGCAATGCTCTCAGTCCAGTGGTTCTCTTTGTGCACTATAGCGGATGGTCTCTTCCCTGGGGGGTGTATCGATCCTCTTATCGGCCTTCCTGGATACAATGGAGTTCAGAGAGGATACATGGGGGTGGGTGCGCAGTGACTAGTTGAAAGGTAAAGCCATTAAGACCAGCATCTGTTTAGATCATTAGTGTCACCCTGTGTCTTTGTGACGTACTCCAGTGCGGCTCTGTACTAGGGGCCGTTTCTATAATGAGAGAGGAGGTGGTGTAGTCCAGTGTCAATGGCCAGCTCGTTTTGTTCTGTGTGGGGATCAGTGGGGGGTGGGGAGGCTGAGTTAAAGCTCTCGTTTTTTTTTTTCACGTTTCTGAACGTGCACCGAAACTTTCAACACACGTGCATTGGGAGTGCAGGTTGGGATAGCTAATTGCTGGGAACAAAACGCAGGTTTAACATTCTGATCTTGCAGATAGATACATATGCAATTGTATTCTGCCTATAAACCACCTAAAAACATATTTTGGGGGGTTGAAATGTTTGGTGCGTTATTGAGATCTTTAGCGTCCCTCAGTGGAATCGAAGCATCTACATGTTTGAATTCAGCAGGGGGGCTCTCCTTCAGCAGTGCTGTGGTGCCCTGACACAGCTGGGAGGCACTGGAGTGTTTATCACATGTTCTCAGGCTGGGAGAGAAGAGACAACAGTGTGACTGCATGTTTATTTATGGGGTGGGGGTTCCTCACAAGCAAGGTCCCGAGATTCTTTTCACAAGGATCCCCGAACAGCTAAAAATGGAAGGAGCTTTCACTTTATCAAGGGTTTGGATTGAAATGCGTCTCGGGGCCTAGAGATAAAGGGCTTCCCCTGGCACGCCCAGGGCTTTATGAAGTTTGATTTTGTTCACAATGAAGTGCTCACTGCTGCGCCCGTAATCTCCACCAAGAGCTTTCTTGCGCCATGGGAAAGTGGGGCCTGGTGCTTCAGGGCAGGGCTTCCTGCTTCCTCAGCGGCTTCCACATTCCCGCCGCGGCTCCAGGGAACGCTGGCACCGCCGCTCCCCAGCCCTGCGCGGAGCCGGCAGGCTGCCCGAGATTAGCTGGCTTCTCCTCGGATCCGCGCGGGCCTTGCAGGCCCGTGTTTTTGATCGTCTGTCCGGTCAGCCTTAGCTCACCGCTGAGCATGACTCAGCCCAGACACACCTCCTCCCAGCCTGGCTGCATGGGACTGTCTGGTACGGGCATCACAGTTTGACTGGTGCGTTGACTCACGTCTGTGGTGCACCAGCATGTCATCAGAATAACCCCCCCCCCCCATCAGCTCCCAGATATATTCCGACTCCAGAGTCTGAGGCGCCCCCCCTCCCAATTAGTCAGCATCTTCCCCTCAGACAAGGGTCTCTTCTTATTCTCTCGCTTTCTGGCCATGCGGTCCCACCTCTGCTTTAAACGAATTAAAGACAAAATGTTTTAGTTCTGTCTGAAAAATGACATGGCGCCGCTGGGCACTCTGCAGGCCACCGTCCTTGTTATTTTTCCCCGTAAGCTTCCTCTCTGCTGGCTTCTTTTTGTGGAGGGATTGGTGTGGGAAAACAGGGAACATCATCATTCGGAATTGCCTACGCCCAGTGTATTGGTAAATAAGTTACAGGTTTCCCCAGGCACGCCTCTCTGCGCTGGAGGATTTATTGCTGCGCAGGCTGGATTCATACAGAAAGTGCAGTAAAGTGCTCCCCGCATACTGCTATTCAAACAAATCAAACAGGAGACCAAGCTGTTTTTGATGTAGGCAGCCTCTAAATGTTGATGTTTTGCACAAGATTGCCTTTTCTGACACTATTGCTAGGAGATTGCCACAGTCACCCCAAGACATGTCTTTAGGCACTGCAGAAATGAAAACAGACATTCAAAGAGAGCTATTATTTAAAAAAAAAAACCGAGACGGGAGCTTGTTCTAATGTGTTGACGATTTTGGAATGGTTTTAAGTCTTAGGTGGGAATAATGCACATGAACGGTGATAGATGTGAACGCCCCAGTTAAACTCACTTAGCAAACGCTTAAGCTAATTAAATATGAAGCATCCTCGATCTGAAGAGGCTTTGAATGCCTGCAAGCCCATTGTGCTACCTGTCCTTTTCTTGAGAAATCCTATTATAGTGAGATTCTTAAGATGAATTTCGTATTGATGTTTTTCTTAAAGGAATTACCAGGCTAGTAGCTTAAAATTCAAGTGAGCCCGGAAAACAAAAGAGGAGTGTTAATCCCTGCCTGTGATGGGCAGCCCGGTTCTGCCTGGAGCCCCTGGCCCTTGTGCTGCCCCCCCACTGCGCCGCAGGGGGGTCGATCGCTGTTTCCTGTGCACCTCAATGCTGGACAGTGCTTCACCCGACCATTATTAATAGGGGTTCTGCGTTAAGCTACCCTGAAAAAGAAAACTTCAAAAGTTCTTTAAAAGGTCTTCAAAAGAGGGTGAGAGAGATACGGAGCTGCCTGGGCATTAATTAAGGGCGATAACCTCACCTTTTTAGTAAGTTACACAGCACTGACAGAGGAGTTATCAAAGGTTGCAGCCTAATTGACACTGTCTGGTTTGAAAATGGAGGCGGCTGGCTTATGTTTTGTTTTTACGGAAGGTTTAAAGCAGCTTCTTACATCCTCAAAACAAGGTATTTACATATTTGAGAGTGTGAGAACAAGCAGCACATGTATTTAAGTGGTAAATGAAAGAGCCCTGCATTGTGCATTAAAACCATTAAAAGCTTTACTACCATAATTAACACCCCTTATGCAATGTGATCCTCAAGTCATAACGCGAAGTCTCTATATTTCCAAATCATATGTCATGCAAGTTATGGTTCAATGGGTTTTTATTCTGAGGATTTTTTTTCTCGTTTTCATGCCTTCGGTTCTGAATGCCATGTAATTGTGACATCTCTAGGGTAGAGTAATATTTGACTATTTCTCTAAATGCACTTTAGGGAATAAACACAATTGCTGCATGTTTGTGCTATAGTAGTTAAAAAGGGAAGCTGTGCTGTATGCTTTCTGGGCAAGGATTAATTTCAAACTCACTAAAAACTGGGGCAAGCATACTTTCAAACTGACTGAAAATAATTGAACTGATTTCCTTAGTGTAATTATTGTTGTTTTTCTTTGGGGGGGGGTGGAGTAGACGCAGCTGTGCATAAGTATAAGGTTTACATCTTGCATAGTTTTTACTCTGGGTAAACTAAAGTCTTCTGCCTCCATGTCAGCTTAGCAAGCTAAGAGTTCTTCTCTCAGCATTAAAGACAAGAAGGCTGACTGAGAGCCTGTCTGTGTTTGTGTTATTATAGAGCAGTACGGAAATGAAGTTATGGCCAAATAAAACTGTACTTATCTTTCCCATTGTCTTGGTGGATTTCTAGAGACGGGAGCAGAGATGATTTCACAGTAAGGAAGTAGGACAATCTCTGTAACTCTCACTCAGTTCTCTTGCCTCTAGGCCAAGCAATAAGTTTTCAATTGGGATTTCATTCTTCCCCGTAGGAAATAGACCACTGATGACACTGCTCAAGACCTCCTTTGTAGGCTGGGGAAAGATTATACTCGCATTAATAAAATTGTCCGTGGCAGTGATCTGTCCTATTAAAATGAATCCTTTTTCAGCAGGCAATTGCAGACCATCAGTTCAATTTAAAAAACACTTTTTTTTTGCAGCATAGAACAAACACTGAGCACTGTGCCTGTGCATCACACCTGAGGGGCATCACGCTACCACACTGTGCATACTGACCCAGAAGGAGGGGTGGAGTTTCACAGCACAGCCAAAATGAATTGTGTGATTATGACCCCTTTTTCTGATTCTCTTTTCCCCATGTGTGATTTACTTTTCTTTTTCTCTTTTTTCAGCGTTTCGGTCCTGATCTTCAATACATCTTCACATTGCTTTATCCTGGTCAAGCAGTTTCGCCCAGGTAATGGTCATGTAGACTTTCCTTCGGCCCCTCTCCTGCTGCCTAAAGCGACTCGGGCCAGGGACGCCATCGTGAGTCAGCAGTTAGGATGATTTACTAAAACTCGTCCTTTAAAAATTTGGTTGGTGCTCTAGCCTTCTCAGCCTGAGTTACGTTTTATCGTAGAGCTGTGTACTGTTAGGAAAAAAGACAAAATGACTCATGTTCACAGTTCCATGGTTCCTTGCTGTCTGACTTTGCAGCAGATAAGCCCATTGTTTGTCAATTTATGAGTATTTGCAGACAATGAACATTAACCTACAGCTGTGTTCAGGCAGTGCAAGTTTAACGGTGGAGTTCCCAAGTGCTCGTTCAGCGTGGACACTAAGCACAGTTCTCCAGGAATTCCCAGTCTGAGTCACCCAGTGTGATGAGGTGATGAGGATTCCCCAAGCTAGAGCACCTTCAGCTTGCCTCCACTGCAGTGACTTTGGGCATGTCCGGGAGCTTGTGGTGTTATTAGTGGGATCTTCATCTCTACTGAACTGACACCAGCTCTCCAGTGGGCACAGTGGGAATCACCATGCGGCAAAATAGAGGCAGCTCTGTGACGAGTGCATATAATATAGAGGAAAGCAAGCAGGGGCCCTACCGTTCTGTTCCAGAATGAAGGTCATAGCGTGGATCTGAGCTGAATTGAAATTTGAAAGGGTTATAAAAGAGAAACAATATGTGATGACAATTTTGAGACTATTTTACTGTAATTGCAATATAGTGGATTACACAGTGTAAGCATATTTTTTTTTCCTTGTTCACTGTCTCTTTTACACGGAATACAAATGACCAACACTGGTGCACTGCGGTTTTCCAATCTCCTTTTCACGGCGGGGTGTTAAGAGATTTGTGACACGGCGAAAGCATCTTTGCTTGCCACAGCTGCTGGCTGGCTCCGTGCTCAGCTAATCCGGGCTTTAGTTTAGGGTGGACAACGGTCAAGCCCACTTCTCGATTGTAAGAGAGTCGGCATCTTAAAATTGCCTTAACTCCTTTAGTGCGGCACGCAGCTCCATTGAGAACTTGGTCTGACTTGCATTTAGATGGATTAGTAAATGATCCCGTGAAGAAGATGGCGAAAAACACACCTAGTTAGTGCTGTAAGGGTTTTGGAAACAAAGCAAAAAAAAAAAAAAGATTCCATTCCAGGAATTGCAGTACAAATGGCCTGTGTCTTTGTGTGGGCTCTCCCCTCCACTTGGGCCTTGAAAAGGGCTTTCTCGTGCACTTCAGGAACAGTTTCTTTCCAAAGGTATTGTTCTGCGCAGGAGCTGCCCATGTTTGTGCTTCTCGCTTCATAATGGGAGGAAGCCATTTCGTTGAGACCGATTGTTTCTCGTGAGGCTTTGTAAAAAATGAATAATATTCCATCGGTGCCTATTTTCAGAACACTCTCTCTTCTTCATTTGTTTGCTTACACTAAAAGGCTGCCCCAAAAAAAAAAACCCCACTTGCGTGTGGTAAGTGAAGTTTCTTGGTGTAAGTGGGAGGGGGGGTCCTGCAGCTGCAGGACGAGGAGGTGAGGGAGAGGCATCTCCCCCGGGAGACGAGAGGCCGGAGGAGTGCAGGGTGCTCGCTGTAAGGTGGTGTTTAACATCCGCTGCCCCTCCTCCCTGCAGCGGTGTACATGTGCGAGTGGGAGAAGAGCAAGCCCCAGCCCCCCGAGGACGCGGACCCCGACTCGGAGGAGAACCCGGAGAGCCACCCCGACCCCCCCCCGGCCTCCTCGGGGGTCACCTACGAGCTGTGCGCGGGGCTGGTGGACAAGCCCGAGCTGTCGCTGGAGGAAATAGCCCGGCAGGAGATCCTGGAGGAGTGTGGCTACGACGTGCCCGTCACCAAGCTGAGGAAAATCGCCTCCTACAGGTGAGGCCGCCCCGGGGTCCTTGTTCCCTTACACGTCTGGGTATTGTGGGTATTGCGCTCGTGGCCTCGTGGGAAGAAAATGTTGTATGCTCTCGAGTGATTCTTGCAATGACTTATTTCAAAGTTTAATTGAAAGCCGTATCACGTGCAGCGCTAAAAACACGCATAGGCCACGCTGTGGTCGCTTATGATAAAATGTCTACATTACTGTCAAGGTGATAGCTGCTCAAGAGAAGAGCTGAAGATACTCGGAGTTTCGGTTCGGTGATGGCCCATGGAAAAGAGCCATGTATGGAACCATGTCAGGGCGCAATGTGTCGTTTCTATCGCTGTGAATTCTGGGAATCGGTGGAGGAAATCGGCACTTGTCCAACAGAAAGCAAACACCTTTGTCAATTTTTTCTCAGGGCAAAAAGGAGATTTCATAACCTTGTTTGTCAGTGCCATCCTGTCAACTTCAGAGCTTACTCTACCTGCACAAATTCCTTCAGATGCATTGCCTGGGCTGTTAAATAAGTCAGATAGCACTAACCATTGTGAGAATAGAGCATTGTGCTCTTATCAGCCTTTACAATGTTGTAAAACCTCTGCAGTCATAAAGCCCTTGTAATTAATTCTCAACACCTGCCCGTGCACCTGCTGCAAAGTGTTGTACTATTATTGCCCTGCTGTTAATTGATATACTAGGAGGTCTTCTTTTGCACCTGCCACTATTTCCTGATCCAAAGGAGGTGTAAAGGAATGGGAATCGATAATATTTCCTGCTTTTTTTCTTATGTGTTGGAGTTGTACTGCAATAATGCAGTGTTGTTCAGTGTCAGTGTTTCTCCACAAGCTCCCAGTACAGTGTGCTTAGTCCTCAACACGTCTTCGCAGTGCAGTCCGGCAGCCTATGCTACGACATTGGGCACATATAAGCCACAGATAGGAAAAAGCAATGCCAAAGAAAAGAAAGAAAATGGCACTACTTTAGATCATGAAGATAAAGTGCACCCCTGGATGTGTAGGGTATTCGAGGCGAGATGAAGGTTCTGTATAGGTGTTCGTGACAATCTGATACATCATGTGATCCAGTGCTCAGTCATCCTCAGTCATCAGGATTGTCTGTCCCTTTACTGGGCAGACAAGTGTCCTGATCCATCAGTGAAATCAATCACACCTGGATCTGTCAACATCAACCTCCCCGATAAGACACCCACAGCTGTATCTCAGGGATCTTTCAAGCCCACTGCTAACCTGAGCAGCCTGCTGTAAACAAACTCTTCTTATAGCGTGGCAGGAATTCCAGTAAGGCACCCTCTTGTATGATAAATGATTTGTAAACTAAGTGTTCTATATTTTGACCAGACGAGATGTTTTGATTGTTTTCTCCTTGTGTTCATATTTAGTTCCCCTCTGAAGAATATTGTGCTGCCTTTTGATGCAGATCACCTTTTTTATTCAGGCCAGTGGAAGTGGGAATCAAAAAGCACAAAAAACAGATGCAAGAAATGGGCAACATTTCCACTGCAGACTCAGTTGTACATTTCACAAGCTGAAGTAAGAATGTCCACAATAAAATCATTTCCAGAGTGGGCTTGATAACGTTTTTTCCGGGTGTGAAAGTAGGTGTTCTCCCTGTAGTCTGTTTTTCCAGGGGCTGACGGATTGGTGCCGAAGAAATAAAAACCAAACGGAAATATAACCATCAGTAAGGGGAGTCACTACAAGCAGCTTATGTTTTGCCTTTAGCGTGACAAGAACTAGTGTGCTGTAGGTACAAGATATTAAGAAATATGTAAACCTTAGATTTGTGAAGGGGAAACTGTCATGTGCTTGTAGATTCATGCCTCAAGGCTGCCAGGAAGGGGGATATCTCCCAACCCGCTCTCACAGACTGGGGATTGGTTTTAGCTAATGTCAGTCTTTTGCTGGAAAATAGAGCTCCACAGTGGGGGTGTCTCACATTCTCCATTCGATTTTCTCTCGACAGCAACCTGAGACTGCAGACAGTCTTGATGTGTGTTCATACAGCATGCAGTTTTTGTTTGAGCTTATCAGACAACAACCCATATAAATCATAGATGCCCAGTGCTGGTCCTACTGTACAGGGACTGGAGAATGGAAATCATTTCAGTATTTGCTTAATTGGACCCATTTAACAAGTTCTACCAGCTTTTCAGATGCTGATGCCTTGAGGAGAAAGGCTTTCCTTGAGCAGAATTAGACATCTCAGGCTTAGATAGATACATGATAAAGCAATTGATTATCAGCAAGGCTACTTACACAGTATATTCTATACATACATCACATTGAAAGTAGGATTAGTTTTGTGGATACTATTTTGATATACTTTATTTCTTGCTGAGAGGATGTAAACACTGCAGAGTTTTTAAAGCATGCCTTTTAACTGCCCTAATGCCCCTATGAACCCATTCCAAAGATATGCACAGTGTGTGCAATCCTGACTTCCGATGCAGGCACACACAGGCCCCTGCAGTAAAGCATCACATTTTTCAGGACAAATGTTTAATAACCAAGGGAGTGGGTTGCTCTGGTTTCCACCTTTCAACAGCTGTCGAATTCTTAGTGTTGAGATTAAGAAAAAAGAAATGTTAAGCAACTGCAGGAGGTGTGTGCTTTAATTGATAGCTGGCATTTTTCAAATGTGTTCAGGCATGAAGCAAAATTCCTTCTGGTGCATTAATTCAAGCACACTGGTGCCTTAATACTCTCAACTTTTGACACTCCTTCGGAATCACGGGGCAGAAAAGTTCCAGTCCTGCCAACGCTGAGTTCGATTGCCCTTTTCAGCTCGGCTGAGCATCCTAAAGGATTGTGTCAAAAGCACCTCAGCCGAATAAACAGCTGAAATAAAGTCACCGGCGGTTCTCAGCCCTTCTTCGGCACTGGGTCACCTTGTTGACAGGAGCCTGCCACGAGAACCTCTACCCTTCGAGAGCCTCTGGGAAGCCGGCGTCCTCGGCCTTCTCGCGCAGGCTAGCGCCTGGGTGCTCACGTCTCTGCGCTGTCCTGTTGGCAGGTCAGGAGTGGGCGTCACGGGTTCCAAGCAGACCATGTTCTACGCAGAGGTGTCGGACGAGAACTGCGTGGGAGAGGGCGGGGGGCGACCCCAGGAGGGCGAGCTGATCGAGGTGGTGAAGGTGCCGCTCCAGGAGTCCATGAACTTTGCCTACGACGAGGGCATCCCAAAGACCATGGGCGTCATCTTCAGCTTCATCTGGTTCCACAGCAACATGTCCCCCAAGTACAAAATATCCACCAACGTGTAATCAGCCCCTTGTGCCCCTCATCGATGTGAATAACACCTTGGCACTTATGTCGTCTAGTTCTTAATAGTGTTTTTGTTCCTTTGTTTGTGATCTTCAATACTGCCCTTTTTTACGCATTTTTCCAAAATGAATTTCAGGATAGACATCTGTTTCAACACTGCTAAGTGTATTTGTAGGAGAAGTCCTGAACTTGTGAGACTTTGCTGCTGTGTGTGTTTAGTGGAAGGTGCGAGGAAGGCTGTGTTGATACAAATATGCCATCAAAGGCACCAGGAAGGTGAACTGATGTTCAAGATCGTTAACACCTGCACTGCAACTGAAGAAGGATTGTAACCACAATGGATTTTGATTTGTAAGAAAAGAAAAGTTGCCCTTTGTTTCCATTGTGCAAACGCAGTATAAACTTCAAATCTGCAGCAAACAGGCAGCTAGACAATCAGGGTCCAGATCCATGCAAGGCCTTGCTGCCAACTCAGGTCTTAACCAGTTAGACAAAACTACCAGACATTCAGGGATCCAGTGTATAAGTGCATGCCACTTACGAGCTACGTTTATGTTATCGCTTTCAGAAATTAAAGTATACTTTTGAGTTCTTTTTAAACAGCTGTGTAGAAGTGTTATAACGATTAAGTATCAAAATAGCTGGGATTAAAATAGATAGCTTTCTTCCCAGTACGTTTGCACAGAAATAGCTGAAAATCAGGGTAACAATATCATACTGACAAGACTGTTGTTAACAATAGGAGGCTGACGAGACTATTGTTAACAAACCACTATAACTGTGCTACAGAGCCTGGTTATTATATTAAAAGTGCTCTGATTGGCCAGACTAAGTAGCTCGTAAACTCACTTCAGGCTTTTTTTCCAATGATTGTGTTTTGTTTTTGTTCTGTTATTGCAGTATAAATTGTATTTCTTGAGGTAGTTACTTTATGCTCAGCTGAGTCAGGATCACCATTAACACTACAGTACCGCATAGACAGTATATTTATGTTATCGTGTGTGTGCTTGTGTGAATGCTGTTGCTGGAAAAGAAGGGTGGTGAATCTGTTCTCATAGCCAGACGGATGTGTAGATCTGAAGCTGTTTGATAAATCAATGTTGACGTACAGCACTCAGGCCTTTTTTCAGTGAGGAGACAGAGCTTTGACTGAAGTGTCTGGATTTGTACTGATGTAAGACTGAGGGGGATTTCTGGTGTAAACATGAAGGTAAAGTGGATCAAACGAGCTTGCTGGTCATCATGCGCTTGCAAGGAAATCAGAGACTTGTCTGAAATCCACAAGCCAGTTCATTTTACACATGGGTTTTACCTAAAATCAATTTCCTAGCGTAATCAATCTCGTAATTTAATAGTAGTGACGTATTTTTTACTAAGCATACCTAGATTTGTGTTTCTTTTTTTGATTAGCTTGTCTGTATGAGAAACAGTATTGAAGTATACGGAACACATCTATTCTGCTATTTAAATTTGTACTAGTACTTGACTATATTAAAGTCCTTGTAAGCTTGATTTGAGGTGGATATGACATACTTTATAGTGCTATTTATGTTGTTTTGTACTTTTTTTTACTTTTGTATTTTTGATCTGTGATTATTTTTAACATTTTCTTGTCTTATTAAAAAATAGTGCATTATTTATAAAGCTCATTGCATGTGCATTATTTACCTGATTTGCGTTAAATGTAAATAAAAGGGTTTCATTCCCAAAAGATTACTCCAGGTGTATATTTACCTGCTGGTGCCAACAGATCCTTTGATGATAAACTCACTCTAATTTTCCTCTCTTCTTCAAAATGCTTCCTAGCACAAACGGGACTCCTTGTCCTGTGGGGCTTAATCTGCTCTCTTTCAGAATAATCCCTTTGAATCCTTTCTTTCCAAGAACCCTTTTTTTTAGACATTGTGCTAAACCTTATTTTGAAACTGCATTTTCTCTCCAGTTCAAGGCTTGCCTTGCGAAAGCTTTGTCATAGGTCTTCTGGGAGAGTGTTGGATAAATTTTGGTAAACTATTCAGTTTTCATTGCAGGAGGGTTTGTGAGGACCTTTCGGTTTAAAAATAGGACGTTATTTCATCAAGCACCTGTTTCAGTCAAATCCCACCTCTCTCCCTCCTCCTATACTGAACTTCCATTGAACACTGCCCTTTGAATTCAAATCGTCCTCGTAATGGATTTCAAAGGTTAATGGGTACTTTGCAGTGAAACATCCAGGGCTCAGTTTTCCCCGAGGCTAAATTATGAGCAAACTGCTCAATCCATAGCTAGTTTGCCAGAGGGGAAAATCAAACTCGTATTGTTTTCTTCCTTATTTAGAAACATGGTGCCTTTTCACCCTACGCTCGTTTTTTTTACACTCCATTGCTGGTTTTGAATGTAATGTTGCCTCTTGTAAAGCTGTCAGCTTAGTAAAGTAGCAGCATTGATGATCATTTATTAATACCAGTGGTAGAGGTCCTTTTAAAATACGATTTTCTGCACCTACGTGTTGAAACCAAGACCAAAACAAGAAAGCACCCTGTTTTATCATCTCCCGTTGCAGGTGCTCTGCAATCTTTGATTATCAAATGTATAACAAACCCCACCTTCAGCACACCGAAGAAGTATGCGCGGTGTTTTCGAGAGAGTCACACACGTGTCACGTTCCCTGACCCCGGTGCTGTGCAAGTGAAACTGCTGCTGTAACTGGACCCTGTTTGATTAGGCTTCTGATACAAAGGCCCGAGCCACACGCTCCGTCGTGCGTGGCAGCTGTAAACGGTGTCATCTGAACACAAACAGGGCTAATTTGTCAGCTCTCTCTTGCAGCGCCGGCATCGCCGACCAAGGGGGGAGAAAGCCCTTTCAGTTCTCCCCATGACTCAGGAGTTTCGTCGGGTAAGTCAAGTTGCCAAGGTGATATTTGTGTTCAACTTTTTAAACCTTATGGTAATTATTAGGCGAAACTTGTGGCTCATTCAAACACATGGCGAGAAGGGTGGTGGGGGGGAGGGAGCGACAGATAAAAGCATGAACTAAACCAAAGACAATAACCCTGGCTTCTCTATAGCAACAACTCTCCCCAACTCTTACAACAAATGAAGCACTCCTGCAGTTAGAGAGCCCGGAGAAAAACCCTGAAGGATGTAGTAATAACGTGTTTGTGACACGATGATTTGTGAGGGCTTTTTTTGTGATGATTGTAAGAAATTCTGTTTCCATAAGTGTGCCGGGTGGCTGAGAATTCACCTGGTTGCCCGGGGATGAGTTTTTTTACAAATACAAAAGAAATAGAGGAAGGGAATTTTTTAAAAAAGCAAGCCGGCGTTTGTCCACTGTAATGTCACAACGTCCGCGAACTCGGAAAGGCTGAGCGCGAGAGGGACGGCGTGGTGAAACGCCGCGCCTATGCCTTTCCAAAGCGGGCGCCTTGTGGGTTGCAGCAGTACCAGGAGAGTGGTAGGGGGCTGTCGCAGCCCCGTTGTCGCTGCACTGAGCTGCACGTGCCCAGACACAGCCATTTCGGTGTTTCTGGAAGCCTGCTGATTGCAGGAAATGAGCTGAGAAATGATTCCAGGCCACAGGAGAACACTTGAGAGAGGCGTGAGTGGGCCACAGCCATGGAGCAGGCCCATGCTGAGCTCCTGTTTGCAGCAATGGTCATTCGGGATGGCTTTTGTTGTGGGTTGTGGGAACACGTTCATTAGGCCAGTCCCCATATTTGTATTGTACACAGCTGGTCAGAGTTAATGATTTAGATGACAAACTTTGTCCCAGAGAGTGTTTTGAATAGCACGAGTAGTCTTCTGAAATTCTGTTGCTTGGTGTGTGTTCATGGTTCGTAAATTAATAGTGTGCCATTGGAGTGAGACAACATATACGAAGAATATGGGATCTAATATAACCCAGGCAGTAGAAAAACCATGCATCTTACAATGAATCCTTTTTTATTTAGATTTAGGAACTGCAGCCTCTGTACTATAGCAAATACAATACTGTGCAAGAGCTTGTCGTCTGATTGAAATCGTTTTTACATAGAAGATAATTGGCAGAAATTGGCTTGCATCTGCAAAGCTCAGGCAGGATGCCAGCAATGCTTTATCTTGGTAATAAACAGTTTCCAATTCAAGAGTGCAATCCAATTTTTTCCTGGTTCTGTGGCTCTTATTTGCTGTTGATGGCAGAAAATTAACAGAATAGCAATTACAGCCCTGCATTTGTAATGGGCCAGATGTTTAGCTTTTTTTAGGTTATAATGCAAAGCATTTGTTATCTATGCAGAACTCATACGCTGCACTAAACACCTTCTTTCTTTTCATGAGAGAACAATGTTACAGACAACAAGGAAGACAGTTTTGCTCTGCAGTGAGATTGGTATCACCCGCTTTTGCAGTTTGTTTCTTCCTTCTTGCCTGTGCACAGCCCTTGCTGTATGATGACGGTGAAGCTTCGAATACCACAATTCAAGCTCCATTGAAAGGTTTGCTTCGGATTCTGGAAAATCTCCGGTGGAGCAATGGGATATAACTCACTTGAACATTGCCATCAGCGACTGTAGAGGGGTTTCTACTCTACAAAGTAGTACGGTAGACATTACTGATTTGCTCATGGTTTATAACTTAAAGGTGTGATATTGGTGAGATGACATACATGAAGATCTGTAAGGTTTTATATAACCCAGACAGAACTACAGCTGGGGTAGTTGCAGGTCATAGGTGGGAAGTCCAGACTTTGAGAGCTGAAGGATGTGGTGGTTTTCATTGAACCTTAACTGATACATTGACTGATGGTTTGGATTAGAAATCAGGTAACTTTTTCCTTCAGGTTTTAATCACTTGCCATTCAACAAGTACCCCATAAAACCTATATCTTATTAGACACTTGGGATTCATGGAGAACAATCACTCGAGCTCTCAAGGGATTTAAAATGATGGGGGTGATGATGATGATGATGATGATGGTGATGTAAAAAAACACAGCTACAACATGTTACCATAACTGGGTAGGGGATGATCCATTCGATTTCTGGATAAATGTCTGGAGAGTAGATGTTATCTTTTCATTGCATTACCACCGACTCCACTATTTTTCACAAATTCTATCTCTAGGATATCAGCGAGTCACTTTGTCTAAACTCCTTCAAATCCAAGACTCAAAACCTTCTTCTGTAAAAGAGCCTTTACTTAACTGGTTCTGTTCTTTACTCCTCTGCTCCTACTGTATTCAGTCCCCCCTCTACTGTCTCCTCTAACTCTGTATTCTCATTGTGCATATCTTGTGTATTTTTGTATCATTGTTGTCATTCTGTAAATTCTTTGAGAAGCCACCTTTAAAGGCGCTATATAAAATAAGGTTTATTATTATTATTATTAAATCAAATCAAACTGCTGCTTAAAGACCCTTGGGAGGATCAACACCGAAGTCCATGTGGAGCTTCTTATATGAGTCTTGGGGTGCATGTTTTCGAGGTAATCAAACAAAATTAAGCACATTTATCCTAAATGCTGGAACATGTGACCAAACACGTTTTTTTTTACATCAGACCACCAGCAGTGCTTGAAGTGTCACTAGAGACTGACAAATGTTGCCATTTCCGAATTATAAAATCCCATGTGTCTTTGGGCCCTCAGGCTGTATTTCAAACACAAACGTTCTAGCCTTGGTAGGAAGATTGCCATGTCATGCTCTCTGTGCCCTGCTGAGTTTGCTTCTCTAGTTGATTTATCACTATTGAATAGCAGAAATGCTGTCCTTTCTCTATTAAAATCATAAATATCTGACAACACTCTTTATCCTTCAGATACACCACTCTGATAACAGAGCTATTTGTACTACCAAAGGGTCATTGATCTGTCAGGTGCTTCGATTAGAGTCTACTTTGCATCGTTTGTCTTGCAGGATTTTGTTAAGAGCAGATGTCTAACTGTAGATTTATAACCGGGCAATTTCATTTTGCTACTACTCGATAAATACTGTTAAAGGAAGGAGGTGCCCTTCACATGTTTAAAACAGTGAACATGCTTCATGGAACGGTTGTACTAGAAATTTCACTT